TCATATATAATAAAAGCTTAATATGCTAAGTGTTAAGTGGACCTGTCTGTTGTTCAATCAAGCAATCAAAGTGTAATATGCTAATGATCAACCACTAACTATGAAGTGCAATGACCACCAGCGGGCAGATGCTCTAACCAGAATATTAGCTTGCTGCTGGGGTCCAGCGGATAGGAAATGAGAGAGATGTTCCCTACATGCCTTGGAGCCCTCCCACAGTCCCTCCCTGGCCGGCCAACCTCCCATGTCTCTCCCCAGCCCCGATAGTGCACTGGTGGGGTTTCTCGGCCTGGCCTGCATCTTCTCACCATCAGGGACCCCTCAGGGGATGCCGGATTGCTGGTTTCCGCCCAATCCCGGGAGCCAGGACCAAGGACCCCACTGGTGCACGAATTAGTGCACTGGGCCTCTAGTAACACAATAAAAAGTTTCCAACATCAAGAATCAAGGGTCTCCCTTTTTCTGGTGCTATGGTGGTAGTTACTCAAATCAAAGTGAATACCGACGTCAGGCCCTCTACTTATAAGGAAAAGGCTGACCCACATGCAAATTTCTGTTCAAGCTCCAGGGTACATCCTCTCCTGGGCTGTGCAGGCTCACAGCTCTCTCCTCACACAGGGCTGAGGTCTCTGGGAAGGCAGAGCTGTGGTCTAGAAGAAGATGAGGCTGCTGAGTCTTCTCCTGTGCCTGCTGACAGCCTCCCGAGGTGAGGGTATCAGGGGTCAGACAGGGGTCATGGGATGACTGTGACTGCAGGTGACTGACAGGACTGATGCTCCTTGTCCCCAGGTGTCCTGTCCCAGGTGCAGCTGCAGGAGTCCGGCCCAGGAGTGGTGAAGCCCTCACAGACCCTCTCCCTCACCTGCACTGTCTCTGGATTCTCTCTGACGAGCTATGGTGTACACTGGACCCGCCAGGCTCCAGGAAAGGGGCTGGAATGGGTCGGGGTTGTGTGGTATGATGGAAGTACAGCCTACAACCCAACACTGAAATCCCGCCTCAGCATCACCAGGGACACGTCCAAGAGCCAAGTTTGCTTAACACTGAACAGCCTGAGAGCCGAGGACACGGCCGTGTATTACTGTGCACGACACAAAATGAGGGGAAGTCAGTGTGAGCCCAGACACAAACCTCCCTGAGGAGACAGCAGGGCTGGGCTGCAGGGAGCGCTCTGTACACCAGGGGATGCTCAGGACCCACAGCACAGAGAGCAGCCCCAGGAGCAGGGGCAGAGGGCGGGGGGGAGGGAG